TTTAGGTATTAAAATGGACCAAATCTGATAGTTTATATACTAAAAGTGTAATTTACCCAAAAATATTAATATCCATAATTCATACAATTCCAAAAACAATAAAAGTAGTGTATAATCCCAATTAGTGCCTCCTCATAAGTCGTCTAATTTCTCTGCAAAGAATAGTTGACAACTAGGGATGTGTATGGGACTCGAATCTATTAGGTTCTGACCCATCAGGTTGAGTTTTTTTAAAAATCGGGTGAGTTTAAATAATGCAAAGTATCTATGAGCAAATACTATCTTATATTTACCTCAGATTAATAGGAAAAAAACAAAAAGGTGAGTCTAAATAAGTTCAGTGAATGCTTAAAGTTACCAAAAAAACAATTACAATAATACAAGTTAAGTAGAAGCATTTCAAGTGCAACTTAAACATTGTTTTTTTTTTCTACATGCTACGTACTCAAATGTCTCAATCACTACAGTAAAACAAAGTTTTAGCGACGTTTTTTAGTCCTATAGCGCGTTTTTAAACGCCGCTAAAACACTTACGCGATAGAAAAAACGCCGCTAGAAGCGTCGGCCATTCTTGCGCCGCTAAAGTTAGCAAATGTTCATTTGTTGAGAACTCATAAATATATCAAAGATGGACTTATGACATGAGATCATTTTCAGGAGGGGATTTTATCCCTTAGAAATGGTTTTTTAGACTAGGACTAGATTGGCTTGGTGTTTTAAGGCCGAGTCCGCTCTGGCTTCTCCGTCATATGAAGATTTGGTTTGGGACCCTTCGTATGCTTGAAGGGTATCCAACATTAAGGTTAAGAGACCGATTACTTTGAAATGGTCGGCTCTCGCATCGATTTTTGAAAATTTAATGTCAATGGGTTACGAGAACAGATGGTAGTACAGCTGAAATCGGAGGTGTCCGATTTTTCTCGATTCGTAGGCTCTCGCAATCGATTTTTGAAAATTTAATGTCATGGGTTACGAGAACAGATGGTAGTACAGCTGAAATCGGAGGTGTCCGATTTTTCTCGATTCGTAATCTCTAAAAATCTGTCAACCACGTATACAACGCAATACTACAAAAAAAAAGACCCTCCATCCCAGTAAAGGAAGGATTTGCCATTGATTGGCCTTGTCACAGTCCTTATCGAGTCTCAAACCACTCCGTCTACAACCCTTAAAGACCCTCCATAGAAAACCCTAATAACCTCAAAACTCATAACTCTTTTAATATATGAACCCCAAATCTATAACCCGCATGTTATATGAAGCCTAATATCGAAGTTTAACAAGGATATTGATGAGTGTTCTAAATCGTAATATTGTGTTAATTCTTCGATCTTATGGATTTATTACTGCTGATTTGGTTGATTATGCTTATTTCATATATGATCTACTTTCCAGAATTAGCAGAAAAAATTGCGCATTTTGTATTTTTTATTATTTGTCACAGCTGGAAATATGGGCACGACTCTAGTCATGACACGGTCTGACGTGGCATTTTCTAGAAGGTCCAGTCAGTAGCAGTTTTCTAGAAGATAGTCAGCACCTTCTAGAAGGTGGACGGACAGAGATGTCTTAAGAGATTTATTTTAATTTTAAAGTTTGAATTTGGAAAACATTTCGAATTATCTTTAGAATTATTTTTTCTTTTCTATGTTTATCTCTAGGATTTTAGAGGCTATAAATACCCTCTCAGGGTAGCCTAAAGACACAATTCAAATTTCATTTTTCTTCTTGTTTTTAGTTTTATAAGTTCTTCTTTTCTTTTTTTTAAGCTTTCATTTTTATTTTATTTTAAGTTTATTTTTAAACATAATATGATGTCATCTCAGTTTTCTGAAAATCTCAGATATGTAATCGACATATCCTTTAAAAAAATCAAAACACTTTCTTTTCAAAAAGTCGACGTTGGTCAGGATGTGTTTTGATTTAAAGTTGGGAAAGATCGACGAATAGCAAATCCGACTTCCTGTGGCACACTTAGCGGCGGTCCACTAAGAGAAACTGGGATCGGGTTCGATTCTAGAGAGACAACATAATCCGAGTCGGTTTTTTCCTAAACTAAAACTGTTTTTTTTTTGCACTAAAGGCTATGTCGTGGTTGGTTCAATTAAAAGTTGGATTTCCAAAGATTGGCTTTGGGGAAATCGGTTACCAAAGTGAAAGCAAGTTAAATGGATAATGCCTTGTAGACTATAACCGGCGTGAATCCCAAAGTGAAAATCTAATTTCGATGATCATAACGAATTGAGTCAAAGCGAGGCATGAGGTACTTTTTACTATAATTATTTTCAAATCTTTGTTTACTTTCTTAATTTCCGCTTTAAATTACTTTTCCTTATTCAATCGTTTTCATCAAAACCCTTATTTTTTTACTACTTATTGCTGGTTTAAACAATTCAAACGAAATTTATTGTATGGTTTAAACAATTCAAACAGAAATTTAGGAATTTTCTAAGTCCCTAAGTATCGACCCTTACTTCTCTTTGCTATGTTTCTTATTCTATTGGGAAGAAGGGATTTATTTGACATCAAAACGATAGTTGTCAAAAAATCCATAAACTCAAGAAACACTAATCACTCTAATCTATAATATTCACCATCTGATCAATGTTGAATAAGATATACAACTCGTTTCCTCCATCTTCATCTTCCCACCATTGGGTACGGAAGAAGATGTTTCATCATCGAGAAATCAAAAGAAATTCAAAACTAGGGTTTTTTCAAAACAACGAAAAAAATTTAGGATCATTTCATATTCTTAAAAGAAAAAATTCCAATCATGACATCATTAAGTATTTAAGGATAGAGTGACATCATTAATTATTTTGAACTTATTAAATCTATTAGAATCTATATTTTACTCTTATCTTCTATTACTTCAAATATTTGGCTAAGTTGGCATCTTGTATTAACTGAAATTAATTTAGTCATTAAAGAGAAGTTGATTTTATTAGGAAGAGTGATTATGGGTTTGATGCATTAATAGTGTTCAATTGACATTGTAGTGGTGCCAGAAGGAGGCGGGCAACCATATAGTTTGGAGCCATGATCGTAAATGAATAGACGATAAATTGTTTGTGATTCGTTTGTTTATTAAGTTAACGAGTATGAGTAAAATGTTTATATTCGTCAATAAACGAACAAATACGAATAAAAGTGTGTCTGATTTGTTTAAGTTCACGAACAAGCTCGGTTATCATTTTCTTTTTATTTTTTACATTTTAAATATTAATGAAGATAAAGACTAAATTGAACATTGAGTGGATTTTGAAGTTCAAACTGTGAAGCCTAAGGAGCTAAAGGACTAGTGGCACAATTTCACCATTTTGAAAATATAAACAACATGTTCATGAACCCTAAACAAATATATTCGTAAACATATAAGCGAACATCACAAATAAAATAAAGAAACATGAATAACTTTAAAAATAAACAAACAAACACAACCTTGTAAGCTTCAACGACAAGCGTCAGTAGGAGTGTTCAAACAGTTAATCAGCCACCGACCGAACTGACTTTCTATTAATTGATTAACCAAACTTTTTTCTTTAACTGTTAACCAAACAAAACTTTTTTTATAAATTTAAAATTAGATTAATTTGAGTATAATAGAGGTATTTTTTATTTGAGTTAAAATTTAGTTAGGTATTGATAATTTAATGAGTATAATTAAAAAATAATTGAATATTAATTCTTAATGGATTTAAGCTTAAAATATGTATTTAATATATATAATATATTTAATATTTTATAATTTTGATTAATTTAGTTGATTAACCGATTTTGAACCGTTAACCCCGACAGAACTAATTTAGTGGTCGATTGAATTAACCGAACTAATTCGATTCGATCAATTAATTCAGATAAAACCGAAAAATTAACACCCCTAAACGTCACCTCATTTGCTGATTTTGCAAGCCTGTGTTCCTGCTTCAAGCTCCCAGTTATCAAGTGCACTCGAGCATGCTTTGTCAAATGTTATGAACTAGAGATTGCTAATGGTTGAAAGTATTATTCTAACTGAGACCGCCGAATAAACGTCGCTAACGAATAAAATCCGATCACAGAAACATTAGCACGAGAGTTCTCCGATGGGCGTTGTAGGCCGCAACGTAAAAGTTGCGGACGGAAGAGGGATAGACTGAAACTCCATAATGTTACTCGTAGGAAATTTTATATTATTTGTCACATGTCCTGAACTATTTTATGATTACTTTAGGTGTCCAGACCGTTACGACGTTAATTTTTTTCGTTAAGTGACACATGTTACAATTTGATAATTTTAAAAAAATTATTTAAAATTAAAAAATTCAATTATATTAAAAATAAAGAAATTTCTAAATAACCCCTAAACTTTAGAGATCTTTGTTTCAACTCCTAAATCCACGTTAACCGTCGCCCTTTACAGTCGACGAAGCTCCACCCGACCTCACCTCCCCTGGCGACTAAAATCCCTATGAAATCGTGACCGATCAACGACAAATCAATGTTTTTGATACCTCGCGAACCTTAGGATGAAAATTACAATCCCACGCGATTCTAACGACCAATCGGCGATAACTATAGTGACATATGACTAGGAGGATGATAGATACTATGTTGACGACAGTGATCGTGATCGAAAAGGGCAGTGAAGACATGTTAGGATTAGGATTTTGGGGGTTTTTTAATTTAAGAGAAACTAGGTTTTTTTTATAAATATAATAATATTTTAACATTTTAAAAAATGAATTTTAAAATTAGCATATTGTGACATGTGTCATTTAACGGGAGAAATTAATGTCGTTGACGGCTCAAGCACCTAAAATGATGACATTTGTAACTTTAGGTATCATAATCATTCAAAATATAATTTAGATACTTATTCGTGAAAAGTACTATAGTTTAGGTACTCATTTTATATTTAAACCTAAAAAAAAGAAAAATTGGGAAAGGAAGGCAGAAAAGTAATAAAAGCCAACTTAGGTTGTAAGTGAAGTGATGGTGGAAGTTGTGCTCACTTCTTTTTAATAATAATCACAGCTTCAAATTTATTTCCTAATTTTCTCTTCATCTAGGGTTCCAATTCATGAACAAAACCTACTGATCCAAACCCAAACAACGAACACCACTACAAGGTACAATTTTTCCTTCCTTTTTATTTAATTTTTTTTATACTTCAGTTTATCTCTTCGATCATCGTTCAATTTTCCGTTCAATTTGTTATTTTTTTATGATTTCTTTTAGTTGTTTCCTTAAATATAGAATTTGAGGAGGATGTTTCGTTTGATTTTGTTTCTTAAGCTCTTGTATTAGGTGCGTGTGTCTTGTGTATTCTAATAATTCTATATTTCTCTGTGCCTGTATATATGTACTTGAATGATTTCTGTGATTGTTTTGGTTTTGGAGTTATGATTCTTGAACTATTCGAGTTAAATTTCATGTTATTTTAGAATATTTGGATTGGTTCCGTGCTTTGGATTTTCAATCATGAATTTATGATTGGTTCTGATCATGGCTTGGCTTCAATTTTAGCAGAATTTACAATCAAACAACGGTAATATGGCAGCCTGCCATGTATATAACCAGAAAATGCTTAATCTAACATGGACAATTTATTTTAGTATTAACTTGTTATTTTACAAAGAATTAGCTAGATCATTCATTAGCTGGGTTTCTTACAACTGGGTTTTCTCTGGTTAAATACGGGAAATGTCTTGATTGTTATGAACTAGTTGAATATGGAAGAAAATACATTTGCTAGTTTGATTTCTGTTGAGATGAAAGGTGATCATATTCGAGTTTTTGGGTTTTGGAAATTCATTTTACTTGATTAATTTCCTTTTAGAATGTTTATGGTTTTGTAGTCGTTAAAGGAATCCTCTGCCATTAGTGTTTTTCCCATTACTTTAGGTTTGCTCTGAGTGCCGGAAATCAGTATATTGATTTTATTTTATAATTGCCTAATGGTTCATTTATTGCTCGGCCTAGTCGTTAAACCAGCATGGACCAGCAAGGTCATGGGCAGACCCCTGCAGCGGGCATTGTTGGTAGTGCAGCTGCGGTTCCGTATGGTATAGCCGGTTATCAACCTAATCAAATGTTGGGAGCCTCGGCTCCTGGGTCGGCTGGCTCAATTCAATCCCCTACTCAGGCTGCAGGCACCTCTGCCCCGTCATCTCAGCTGGCACAACACCAACTTGCTTATCAGCACATCCACCAACAACAGCAGCAGCAATTGCAACAACAACTCCAGCGCTTTTGGTCAAACCAGTATCAAGAAATCGAGCAGACTACAGATTTCAAAAACCATAGCCTACCATTGGCCAGGATCAAGAAGATTATGAAGGCAGACGAGGATGTTAGGATGATATCAGCTGAAGCTCCAGTAGTATTTGCTAGGGCCTGTGAAATGTTCATTCTAGAGTTGACGCTGAGGTCGTGGAACCACACTGAGGAAAACAAGAGGAGGACCCTTCAGAAGAATGACATCGGAGCAGCTATTACGAGGACCGATATATTCGATTTTCTGGTTGATAAGAGAGAGGATACAAAAGATGAGGTTCTTGCATCTGTTCCAAGAATTGAAGGTCCAGCCGAGGGCATACCTTACTATTACATGCCACCTCAGCTCAATCCCCAGGCCAGTGCTCCGGGTATGACTTCCGGTAAGCCTGTTGTGGACCACACCTTTTACGGCCAAAACCCTCACCCTTATGCTGGTCAGCCGGTATGGCCACCACCACAGCAGCCGCCTTCGGATTTGTAAATGTTACCTTAATAGCTACTTAAGAGCTTAAAGGACTGTGCAAGTGAATTGATCATCATATCTGTAGTATATTAGTATGAGATTGATTCTACATGTTAGTGCAGTGCTATATTGCATTACAATTTAGCTACTCCCTACATACAGTGTAAAATTTCAAAGATGCTTGCTTTTAATATAAGTTCGAAGTTTATCTATAACATAACTATTTATTTTGAGTTATATCGAATACAACTACGTATTCAATACGACTATGTATTCGGTACAAGTACGATCCGAAATTTCCGAAACTTAGAGATAAAATAGTGGAAACCAATGTTCAAGAAGATTGAAAATGGTCATTTTTTATTCCGTCGAATCCTCAATTTTTACATTGTGATCGATGTTCCATTGCTAAAGCTGTTATTCATAACATGAAACTAAAGTCCTAGCACAAAGGGATTTTGTTGTTGAAGCAGCTTGGAAGTTCGGGCAGGGAAGGACATCCGTGTCGGTGTCCGTAATCAAGATGCCGGACAAATCGACTCCAAACTGCACGGTCGGATGTAAATGGTAAAATTAAATTTTTATTTCGCTTTAAGTTTACTCATGACAGGAGAGGTACCTTTGGCCCAAGTGTTCAATGATATCAGTGGTAAGCGTCGATCTTTTTTTATGTTCGAAAGCAAGAGCTGCAGCCTTCCTCAATAAAGCAGAGCCGGCAATGCAACCCAACACGACCGGATTTGTTTGACTGAAATGACACCGTTTTTAAGAAAACCATCGACGAACAACAGTGAGGCGGAGCAAGGAATTTGAGATAAATCAGGCCAAAGCTACCTGATAGTCGTTTCCCTTTCTATCGCAGAAATGTGCTGTTGAGCCCAAGATAAAAATACAGCAACACTGGCAGAAAAGCGAATATGAAAAAGATCAAAATTATTCGATGCTCTTCGAAAACCGACTTCTAGGAAACAACTCCGATGAAACATACAATGCATGAGAAAATAACGAAAAGGATGTCCTTGAAACTTGACAATCCAAACAATCGTTGGAGCAGTTTCAAGAAACAAATATACAGATGAGATTCTAATGAATCAATTACCTTCCAGAAAGTATATCACCTTGGCCACCACAACGCCGCGGAGATCCGTAAATGCTTACGGATTGGACTACATAACACAAAAGGTGCAGCGTTAAAAACAGTTCCAGGCATTCCAAATGTATATATATACACATGTATATACTCAAAGTTGTAATAAAATGCAAAATACATCTGCGAGTTGGGAGGTTCCATACCTATTTCACCGTCACTAATGAGATCGGACTTTCCTTTCCTTAAGATAGTTACACCACCGATTCTGACCAACAGAGGCATTTCAAATTAGAATTTTTCGGAATGTTGCGTTAGAAAGGGAAAAAGATAATTCATCTGAGCATCTATTATTTACAAAATCGAGTATAAGAGAGAGTTCGTAGTATATCAAATACACACACGACAGATGAAAATCCAAAGCACGTGGTCTTCAATGTTCTCTTTCCATCATTCAGAAGTTAAACGACATCTAAAGGGATAATACTTATTAGCTGATGTGGTCTACGATGCCTCTCGTATAAAGAGGCCTCTTACTGGCTATGTAAGTGCAACCATGTTCACTCACTACCCGGAAGTCGGAAGGTGCGGTACACTTCTACGTAGGATAAAAACTAATGCAGATTGAATCTCAATGATCTGATAGCTATAAGATAAATCCATAGTATGTTGGTTGCATGACGTGAACCATGTCCGTATATTGACAGACAATATAATAATATATTGACGACCACAAAAAAAAAAAAACGGCATATAGGTATTGCAGCTATAAGTGCATGCAATGGCAAAGTGAAAAAAGAGAACATGCAAAAAAACATACCGTTTGGAGAGAGAAAGCAGTTCCTCATGAGTGTTTTGATCGTTTACATCGCCACCTAGAACTTTCTGAACCAGGCGCTTGTATTCGTACACATTTGGAGTCAAGACAGCTAAGCGATAGCCACTAACAAGCTCGATATTGTTTTTCACAAGGAAGAGTCCGTCCTAGGAAGTTAAGGTAACAAAAGGAAAATCAGAAGCAAATTGCATAAACATTACCCCACCCCCAAAAAGAAAAAAGAATAGAAAATGGTATGTCGAGCATGAAACTTCACCCAACAGAGCAGCATACTTGTAATTACGGATTACATACCGCGTCTACAACCATTGGAACATTTGATTCCCTTGCACGAGTCATGAATTTGCTTACACATTCCTGAACATGATATGTAATAGTTAAAATAGTAGCAGATTTTCTACGGCAGGAAGTTTTTCCAAAGGAGAAAAGATGAAAGGGCTATTCCTAGGAATCCAGGCAGGCCCTAAGAATATTTGCGTCGGAAAATATTAAGCTTGTCTACCATTTCAGAACTCAAGATGAAACTGAACTTTCAACTCAAAGTTCGCTAAACTTGTAAACCAAAATACCAAAAGGAAGCGTCATTCAGATTTAGCTCTTTCAAGATTAAAATGTTAGTTCATTTCGAGAGAATGAGCTACAGAAGAAACCGTTTTCCCCAGAGAATAAAATAAGTATTTTGCATTCCACAAGGGCTCTGCTTGCTCTAAGCAGAAACGATGACAAATCTTGGTCAGTGAACCGAGCATCGCAGTACCAAGAACTCCACACAAACACACATGTTCTCAATCAATGGATGTATCTAACTCCTAACAAACAAGAATGCTAACGGCATTCGGACCATTAAGTACTGTTATATTGCATGTTTCAAACCATGAAAGCACAAAGCTATATTCTCGTGAAAACAATCTGGAAAAATGACCTTAAATATTCCCAAGTAGAATTAAGAAAACATCGAAAAGCTGCAATCTAACATAGACATTCCTCGTACACAATTACAATTATATTGAAAAGGGATTCAGGTATCTGGAATTTGGAAATCAGAAATGCATATGCATGTATCTTAAGTCATATTAACAATCAATATGAATTTTGAAGAAGTGAGAAAAGCTCACCATAAGAAATGGGTCCCTTCCGAGGCCTGGACCAATAACCAAACAATCAAATCTTTCTATCCATTTTTTGAAGATCATGGATAGTTGCAATTCTTTTTTGCTTGACATTGTTCCTAGTTCCTTACTCTTGATTGGAGTAAATCATGGAATCGAATGATAACTTGACCTACCGATGTTGAATCCGATGATAAACTTGTTAGAAGCTTACTAGTCTTAGCAGCTTGTGAAAGTTCATGATTAGGGCTTATCTTAGCCCCTCAAATATGATCGAGGTAATAGGTTCAAGTCTTTACATTCAAAGGTTGGTTTGAAGATCAAGCTAATGAATCCAGATTCAGAAAAAGTCGTAATGCGGTTTCGGTACCTTCGGTCGATGAGAAAACGAGGGTAATTTGATTAGAACAACCATGAGGCTAGTTATCAACTTCTAAATAGCTTTCATGTTTTGTTTGGAGCTGGAATGTGTTAAGTTCACGAGCTATGGATCGTGTCATCGGGCGGTTCACCGGAAAACATGCGTCAATCAATGAAATCTTATCTCATGAAGAGCCTATATATGGAACAAGTTGAAAGGAGCACCTAAGAGAGAACCTTAAAACTTTATAACTGGAGTGAAATTCTAAGTAGCATTTTGAATCTGCTTGAGATTTTTCGGCCTGCATCGTCGGCAACGTCGCCAATAACCCTGACCTATCGAAGTTACGATCACATGAACTAACAAATTTGAACTACTTGGGGTTTCATAAAGGCCCTGCTTGATGGAACTAGAGGAGATATCCCACATCACACTTGTTATTTTGACATGATTTGTGTGTATGGTAGATTCTTCCGAGGGTGGTTGTGCTATTACTGTTCTCTAGGTTACCGTCTCTTGATTCGGGTACACGTATGTCGTTTAGCCATATTACTACAATCCGGGTTTGATATAGTTCAGTCTGGCACTTTCCTCTCTGAACTAGAGGCTTTTGTGTCGCTCTCCGACTACAGAAAGCGGTTACCGGTTCCCGTATTCTGAAATGTCGTTTCATGAGAGAAATGTTGGTGAATTTGAATGACTTGCGTTGAATAAGTATTTTTCTCTGATACTGTTAGATGGTTGATGAGGTTCGACTAGTTAAGCAAGAACGTGGGATAATCTAGCCTCGTTACGGAATAATTGATCGATTTTCGAGTAAGTTCATGAGTTGCATTGTCTTTCTTACATTTAGTTCAAAAATTTGATTGCATTTGCATATTCATTGGCACCCGGAATGGAACTTGTTTATTTGTTCTTTCACCAAGAATTTGTTTTCGGAATTAAGATATTTTGTTAGCATCTCCGATACGTATCTAATTACTGGATTTCATCTCGACAATCAACAGATGAGGAGGAGAATCCTCTTAAAAGCATCAACAGCTACCCAGTGCCTTGCTGATGAACTAGCTGATGAACTAGCTGATGAATTCAAGAACCAACCTTGCACAAACTCCACAGGTGCCAACGCGGTTCCAGGCACTGAACAACAGTTCACTAACTACTCAAACCTTCTAGCCAAATGCCATTTGAACGTCTCCGTCACGAGGGACGTTGCAGTAATGCCTGCCTGTGTTCCCAATCTGGTTCCGAGCCTTGTGCTCACTAATTTTACGCAGTCTTAGTACTCCGATAATCTCAATGAAACCAAGTATACAGGCATTGGGACCGGCTCCGACGGAGACTGGATCGTTGTTGTTCTGACTACCAGCACAGCTGAAGGAAACTATGCTACAGCTACTACGACTAGTGTGGCTAGTTCAGTTTCCGAGATGAGCGTAATTCATCACCTGCTATTCCTCGTCGTGATCGCTTCCTACTTGATATGAGCAGCAGCAATCTTTTGTTTCTTTGGTGTTTGCTATGTGATGGCATTCATATTACTATTGAACAATAAATTTGCTACATGATATTATACTTTAGCAAATGCATATATCTTTAACCATTGTATTGTATAGAACAGACTTACAATTATTGCACAATATGAATCTGCCCAGATTTCTTCCTCAAGGCAGATGCATCTAGAAGATTCTTTATTAAGCACTCGTTTATCGAGAACATTACGAATCGAGGAAGGGAGTGATTTTACCAGGACTTGAATCTCAGAACTTGAAGTGAAACTACAGGGCTTCAATCACTAGCTTCTTTGGGTTGTCATTAAGCACTCTTTAATCTAGGTTGGACCGTAAAAAGATACCTTCGAAGAGCAAGCAATAGGACCCATGTCGTCTTCGAGATCTTCTCCTTTATCATTAGAAGCAATGCCGAGCTTAGAACGGTCTTCAAGATCTGTGCTTCTATTCCCTTGTAAAATCCCAGCAGCCCTTCTCTTTTCCATATCGAATAGAGCGCCCCTGTAACCGTCTTTTTCTTTTTTGATCCAGCTTCCTTGGTTTCATCGTTATCGTCCAAATCTGCAGCCTGAATTGTGACCTTACACCTGTTGAACGATTTTAACAAAAGAAAGTAGAACTTACCACTTCAATCGATGAAATATCGGATAACAAGTATAAGGAACTGTGACTGCCTGCTGGAGGATGCCGAATAGAATTGACAAAGTTACCTTATCGCAGGGTAAGTCACAAATGTTGCGATACACTTCGCAACTGCACCGAGAACAAATGCGGAGAAGGCTGAAAGAGACTGGGGAGATGAACCAGTACCAGTTTTCTCCTTTAGCTGCCTATTAAGTAGCCTTTGTTTCAATTGATCAAATGCAGTATACTGCAGAAAATATAACAGTGTAATGTCATACTCACATTCAACTCGCAATGTTAGGAATCCAAGGAGGCAAGATGTTCCCGTCAACTCGAAACAAAATTACAAACTAAAACAATCCGGTTTCCAGGATCTCGAAATCGATCAACAATTCGACTCCATATACTTGCTATCAGTACCTGAATAGATGGATTCGTAGTAAGGAGAAGAGATATGTCGAGTGCATCAAATGCTTCACTCCAAGAGCTCTCGGAAAGCGTCTTCCACAGTCCTTTAGACTTGCCGAATTCACTTGTCTGCATTCTTGAGGCCGCTGTATCCAGGGGCTGTGATAACAGGCAACAGTAACACGAAAACAGAATGTTCATTTCGAAAGGCGGGAAAAACCGTAACAAAATACAGGAAGGATACAGAGCTGCATGGAATTAAGAACTTTCCCACACATTCCAGCAAAAGAATCTACTCCATTTTCCACCTAAACAAACGAAATTCGAGTTCCGATTTCCTAAACAACATTTAACCCCATCTAACAAGATTCATAACCAGTTCTATTAATGAATCTAACAACACAAAGATCTTAAATGGCTCACCAAAAGAAACTTCAACACCAACAATCATACATATATGTGTATATAATCAAAATTTCAGTACCTGTGTAATTATCACAGTACATGCCCCAGCAGCAACACCAACAATCAAGTTTGCTTTAGTACCAATAGTCTGTTTCCAGTCTTCTCCAAGTACAGCTTCTTAAAGAAGCTGTAGCCATAAAATAGACGAACTGTGAAATAAAAGACTGCAGATTTTTGGTCCAAGACCTTGATACAATGAAAGAACTTGACCATTAGCTATTGCTTCCCACAGAACAGCTGAAGTGTTCCTGCATGAACCAATGCATATATCAACACTGATAAAAAAAAATCTTTGCTTCTCAAATACATGTGAATCGTTTCAACAAGTTCATAAATTTATCAAAAAAAAGAAGCTACAAAATCAATAATTCTCCAAGAAATTCACAATCATAAAGCAGACAACTTCAAATGGGAAAAGTTGTAAAAGGGGCAGTAAACAAAAATATCTAAGAACTTCAAGTGGGACCCAAAACAAGGTCCAAAAATCTGGGCATTTTTGGACCTGTATTTTTGTTGGTGGTGAGCTCTAACTTCAGCTTGGTACTTGGTTTTACAAGTATCGAGAGGGTACAAAATGGAGGTGCTGACAAGAGCTCCGATGGCTCCCGATGTTGCCTCTGCTAAAGACCCAAGATCAAACGCCATCTTTAGCTTATCTTCTTAGCACCGAAATTCTACAGTTCTGTAGAAAAATGCTTATCCAACCCAAGGTTTTGGGCAGATGGGTATGGATTAATGAAGAGGCTGAGTTGTAGAAACGTGAAAGAAAAACAAAAGTTTTGAGAAATTGAAAGCAAGTTTTGGGAGTCTGTGATAAATCTTTTGGTTAAATTACGTATTTAGTATATAAACTATCAGTATTAGTGTATTTTGGTATCTAAACTTTCAATTTTTTAAAATCATACCTAATGTTTACTTTTCATTTCATTTTAGTATCAAATCATTAAAAACTTAAAGTATTTAGTGCCTAAACGCGTGGGGTAAGTTTTAATACCTGAATTTTTAATCTTTTCAAAACTTGACGCTAAATTTTAAACTAGATAATAAAATGAAACAAAAACTAAAGTTTTTAACGGTGGGTACTAAAATGAAATCAAAACTAAAATTTATGTTTATTTTGAAACAAATAAAAGTTTAAGTATTAAAATAGATCAAAATTGATAGTTTAAATACTGAATGCATAGTTTACCCTAATTATTTTTATAAGTTTTTGTCGTCCGATTGGGATTGAATCTGGGCTTACGCCATCTTCTTTGATCCCTTTTGCGGTATGGGATGGAACCGGATAGATTAACCACATGGTGTCGGTCGAATGGCCTGTTTTGGTTGTTTCTTCCGGGTAAACTACGTACTTAGCCATAAAATTATTTACGAAATTCTATTTTGATCATTTAATTTTTTAAAACTATATCTAACATTGCATTTTAATTAACCACCGTTTTCGTTAATACAAATGTTTTACTTGGAGCGTCATTGGCGCCAATGGAAACTTGGGGAACTTCTCCATATAGTAAAGGAGGTGTTATCAACTTACTCGAATGCATCAAACGGAACAAAACTGGACATATTAAACGTTACTCCAATGACAGCTCCGAGGAAAGACGGTCACGCGTCGCTGTATTATTTAGGTCCCAAGGAAAGCCCGGCTCCGATTCATCGGCAGGACTGCAGTCATTGGTGCCTACCCGGAGTGACCGACGCTGGAACGAGCTATTCTATGCCGTGTTCCTTAAGCATTCGAGTAA